GGGAGGTGGTCGGACTGCGAGGAAGGCCGCCGGCATAGTTTGAGGAGGTAGTTAGGGAGTCAACAACCAGCAGGTAACCATTTGTTGACCGAGCTGTTGAGTATTTTCGTTGCCATTGCGGGGCCCCTAGGCGTTGAAGACTCGAAGGCCCTCTCGCGTGAGTCTGAGTGTGTCCTTCCTGAGTTTGAGAGTCTTACTCTCCCTTATCCTGCCCTTCTTACTCTAAAAGTCTGGTCCTTTGGCTCTGAGAGGAAGGCGGCAGGCGGGCGTGTGGCCCGTAATCCGGGCCGAGGCCTTTGTGGGAGGTTGTCCCACCGATTGCTGGAGCTCTGCCGGGACTCAGGCGGAGTCCTGGAGGCAGGGAACTGAGTGATAATTCCCTTACTCCTTTTATAAACCCAACTATACCCCCTACCTGTACATCCCTCTATGTTTGACTGAGTGTATTGTATGGGTCCTGTACTTGGTTCTAAGTTTGACTTTCAAGACGTAAGTCAGAAGGAAGTAAAAGAATGTGTGGGCAAATCTCAGTTTCAGTTTGTTGATTGCCTGAAAGCAGACTGTGAATGAGATGGGTTGCATCTGGGGGAAGGTTGGAAGTAAGGCAGTATCGTGTGCAGATTGACTGGGTCATTAAGGCTGGGAGGTCCCTTTAAGTTTGGGGAAGCCCAGCGCTTTGTTTATTTTTGGACTGCAAGGAGCCTCAGGCCGCTCTATAAGTTTAGGTAGCCTGAAGCTCTGGAGGCTAGGATGTCCCCATGAGTTTGGGGAGACCAAGTGCTGTAAATTGCATGGAGGGTCAGGACGCTCAATAAGTTTAGGTGTCCTGACTGCTCTGACTTGTGAGGGTTTGACTGTGGGTGACTTTCAGGGACCCAAGGCGCTCTATAAGTTTAGGTACCTTGGGTTGCCTCGTTTTACTTGGGGTTCTCTCAGTTTCTTTGGTCCTGAACAAGGAGGTCTGAACCGCTCTATAAGTTTATGTGGTTCAGCCCTTCTCCTGTTTTGTTCTGAGGGAATAATTCTGGCAGGGGACAGACCGCTCTATAAGTTTAGGTAGCCTATCCCACTGCCTCGCACAGATTGGATCAGAGAGAAACGAACCTGGCTGAGGGTCAGACCGCTCTATAAGTTTAGGTAGTCTAACCCTATGCCTCGCACATGTTGGAACCTAATGGATATAACTTGGCTATATTATATTACTATGCTACTAAGAACATGCTAGTCACGCCGCTCTATAAGTTTAGGTAGCGTGACTATAGCTTATTACAACTGAAGAGAGTACAACTAAGAGATATAACTGAACGTAAACTTGGACAGGTTTAGCAATGTTCTAAGTTGAGCGGCTGAGCCTTATGTCCCCTTTGAAGACTAAGGTCAGAAAGGTATATATAAATTGGCTATTTAAACAACTCAGGGTGACTGAAGTGGTCTAGTCACACGCCCAAAGAAGAGAGAAGTAGTTGTGTCATCTGTTTGTGTATACTTGGTTAAGTCAGAACGCTCTATAAGTTTAGGTATTCTGACTTTAGGCCTGCCTAAGTTGGGCGCGCTCTGTAAGTTCAGGTGCCCTGACCTATGCCTTATGTAAGTTGGGCATGAGGGGACAACTCAGTGAAAGATCATGAACTATTGTTTGCTCAGATTGGTTTGGGTAGGTGAGAGTACTTACCTTTGTGGGTTGGCCTGCATGTGGTTGAGGGAGATTACTACTTGTTCTGGGTTTCAGGTTGACAGGTAGTTGCTTTAGAGGCTCACCACGTGCTAGAGCGATAGGGGTTAGGTCAATTCGTGCATTTTCTGAGCTGATTTTACTTTACTTAGATCGATTTTTGCATTCTTTGAGGCTTGCTACTATACTTGGACCTGTATAAATTCTAGCAAGCTACTTTCTCTACGGGAAGCGCTGCCGAAATTTCTACAGATTCAAGGAGTTAGATAAATTTTTGACTTGTCAAAGTTTAGTTTATCTTTTCGTCATATCTGACTTAGTAAAAATCAGGAAAGTCTCATTTTCTAAAGGGAATGCTGCCCAAATTTTTGCTAAATGAGGGAGTTAGACAAAATTAGGCTTTGGGATGTCAGAATTAGTCTCAGGTTCTAAACTTGGCTTTGTATAAATTTTTGGAGAGCACTTTTCTAGGGGGAGTGCTGCCGAAAATTCTGCACAACTAAGGAGTTAAGCAAATTTTGTCTAAATTGAACTCAAGGTTGGGGACGAAGTTCAAATTTGACTTGGTATAAATCTGGGAATCCCCAATTCCAAAGGGGATGCTGCCCAAATTTCTGCTAATTCAGAGAGATAGACAAAATTTGACTTTCAAAGTTATAGAATACTCCTGCTTTTGATATTCGAGCTGGTGTAAATTCTGAAAAGGACACTTTTCCTACGGGAAGCGCTGCCGAWATTTTCTGATTTTAGWGGARTTWGATTATATTTTGACARGTWGCRATTTTGGCAGTCCACCCTGAATARGGGAGATTCAGCCAGGGTCTGCCTTTGCTTTGGGCACTGCRTAAAGGTAGATTTAGGCTTASCTAGTTAGRAGAATTTGAGTGAGAATATGTTATGGAGTTGTATTYTCCATACACTTGTGATCTCAACTTGGGGATTGGYCTGTCATGTGTTACAGGTCGTCTTGATTGTTCGATTCAAGATCAGGACTAGATTCAGCTTGATCCCTTGAGGATCGTCCTCTGTTATTACTGATAACAGGTGGGTTGCCTTTTTGTCGGTCTTCGACTCAATTTAAACTCATTCCCCATACCCAACCTAAAAGGCTTTAACCCAGGTGGTTTTACTATTTGTTAAGGGTTTCACCCGGACTTTTATTGAATGGCCATTTAATGAAGGTACTGAGTATTTAATTGAGGTTGGTTGGATCTGCGATTGGGGCTTGTATGGCTAAAGCAAAGGGGTACGAGCATAGAGAATGGTTGGGGTTGACTCTGTGTAGTGCGTGCCTTGTCATTTGATTCTTGGTGTGATTGCAGGTATGTCTTGTGATTTGGATTTTGGGATTTGGACTGCCTGCGACTCCATATACGTATACATGGTTGTGAGGAGTCCCACTGTGCCTGTGAGAAGTGATCGTCACAACTCCATCCCCCTTTTGTATGTATGCGTGGGTATACGTACGACGAGTATTTGGGAGGCCTAAGAGGCCATGTTAACAACCGCGTAAAAGTTGGGGTTGAGGGACAGGGAAGACCCTCCCTTCTGCCTATTTGCGTCCTGGGGCTTTCTTACTCGGACGCTGGTCCTGGGCCGGGATTCAAGGTCATTGTCCAGGACATCCCAAGCCCTAGGCCCAGAAGGGGAGGAGTCTCCCCTCGCATAGAGCCTATTTACTTTGGCCGGCGGGACACTCCACCTGAGAGGCGGAAATGCCGTGAGGGTCGAACGATGTGTCCTTCAGCCGTTCAATATTGTGAGGGGTAACCCCTCGCGATGTGTTCTTTCAGCCATTCGATATCGCGAGGCCGGAGCCACGGCTACCACGCATGATTGGCGTAGGATTGGCCTGCGGCCGCGCAGTATTATATCAGAGCCCTGCGCGCGACGTCTCGCCGCCCCTGCATCCAGAAGTTATGGGGTCGCCGGGCTCGCGTGTAGGTGTAGTGCTTGGATTATCGTAGGCCGCCGACACCAATCATAGAAGGGTAAGGTCCCCCAAGGTCACGATTCCCTTTTAAGGCAAGGGGGCCTTCGCCCTAGCCCCTCCACTTGCTTTCGTGCGTGCGTTGTTTGCTTCTTAAGGATTACTATGGTTGGACGTTGTAGCCCGTGGCAGCCGTCAAAGTCAAACCCCTTGACTTTCGCCCAGGCCCGGGAAGGACTCACCCCTAGGGCCGCGAGAGACGGCTACCACCATAGGCCTTGAACCTGTGTACCACCCGCTCTGCATAAGGGTGCAGAAGAGGGTGTGTGGTCTTCAACCGCGCATGGCGGTTGTCCAGCGTCGAGAGATTAACCCTCAAGGCGCGTGTCAGCCGACACTTGAGTGTCGAACGCAGCCCTCGAGATTAACGAGGACCGCGCTGGTATGGGTACTACATGGTACGCCATGATTGCGACTGCTTGCGTGCGCTTGCATTGCGAGTCGATATGAGTTAGCCCTGCGTCCGTGCGATTTCTATACTAAGTCTCGCGTGGGGATAGGAACGTTATCGCGTTGTTTGCGTTATGTCGTTCCGTATGTATGGGTGTGCGTTGTTGTCATGTGGTTGTTAGAGTGGTGTGCGCGTGGTGTGTGGGGTGCGTCCTAGTCGACCGACGTCGAGCCGCGCTTGGGACTTAAGCCCCCCGAGATGCCGACTCGCGTGCGGGACCGATAGGCGTATTACCCCGCGTACCCCCTATGCTACAGCAAACGAGAAACGCCCTCGGCTGATCCACCTTTGCGATTGCAACTGATTAGCTTTCGTACTGTGGACTGGTAGCTCGGCGGGGATACGCCCACCGATGGGAGGTGACAGCTCCCGTAAGGTGGAGGTAAGTCGTGCCTCGCGTAGGCCCTATCCTGTCGTAGGGGCTCGCGAGAGGTATGGCTGGCGCACTCGGCCAGAGCGGCCTAAGGAAGCTCCATTTGTGCATTCGTGTCGAGGTAGATCCAACTCCTGCGTGACGCGGCCGAGAGGGTCCCGCGCCGCCTCGTGCGGTGCCGAACCGATGCGCTCGACAGGTGGCGCTGTTGCCGGGGATAACGGAAGCCTACCGTTGTCCCTGGTGGAACGACATCCGGGTATGGGAGTAAGAGAGAAACTAGGCGCATGGATGAGTGAGAGAAGGACTATGAGATGAACTGTATGGTGATCTATACGACTGTGGGTTGAATGATTGATTGATTGGCGGCTTGGTTGACAGCTTGAACGAAGCAAGTGGGTGAGGAAGTTCTATAGTGAGGATAAGCCTTATCTAGGTGAGCCTAAGGGAAATAGGAAAAGGGACGCCTGCCAGGTCTAGAGTATGGGGTGTCTAAGTGGTCGGCCCGATGGGGTCATGAAGGGCTGAGTCGCTGAGTAGGGTCCTTTATCCCATCGTCTCTTATAACAGGAAGATTGAAGTCGAAGGCGGCTGGCCAAAATGCCAGAGGAGATGGCGGACGGTGGGAGGAGGCTGGTGACCCTCGACGACCTCATCGATGCTTTGGACAAGCGCGAGACGGCGCCGAGCAATGTTCCAAAGGTCGAGACATTTCACTTCAAGGGGGACAAGGTATCCAACTGGTTGGATTTGACAGAACAGGCGTTGGTGGGACAGTCAGATGAGGTCAAGCTCCAGCGGGTCCTCAGGTACGTCCTGCATAGTCACCATCGGGAAGTAACTAAGGTTGTGGATGTCGCCGGTGGCAGTTGGAAGAAGTTTGGAGACCTAATGCGAAGGAAGTACAGGCTGGGGGACGGCCTGTTGACCATGGCCGACTTGGAGGCCATGAATAAGGAAGACTTCTCTACCATTGGGGCGTTTGTGTACGAGTTCAAGAAAAAGGCGAGGAAGGTGCACGAGATTTCTGAGGAGGCGCAGTGCGCCACGTTTTTGGGGCTGCTTACGGGCTCAGAGGCCACAGAGCTGACCAAGTATGGGGAAGGGAGCGAGAGGCTCACCTGGGCAACCATTGACAAGCGAGTGGAAGAAGGGAGCCTRGACCAGGTGGAGCAGCACCAAATGAGGCTGCAAAGGCGCAAGAGGAAGGAGAGGGATGCTACCGCATCCGGGACCCCAGGGGTGAAGAGAATTGTCACGGACGTGTTGGCGACACTAGGGTATGATAACGAAGAGGAGATACAGAAAAAAGGGTGCTAATGGTCCAAGGCCGAGCGTCAGGGGCAGTGGATGAGGAGGCTGGGCAAGAAGACTACGGAGGAGGGGAGACAGGTTCCCAAGTCCTGTCTAAGGCCCAGAGGAAGCAGCGCAATTTGCTGCAGGGAGGGCATGGATTAGGGAAGGGGCAGGCTCCCCAAGCCATTGCCGCACCACCGCCTGTCGCTGCAGCCGCGCCAGCGCCAGCAGGGCCATCGCACATGGGGCCACCACTAGCTTGCGGGCACTGGGTGCCGCATTGTCAGTCCGCACCCTGGCCCAGTTGCAACCACTGTGTCTCGTGTGGAGGGAGTCAAACCCACACGGGACACATGGTCACCTATTCAGGCCCAACAAGTATGGGCCCGAGCTACCCGACGACTCAAAGCCAGCCCGTGGCTCAACCGCCACCCTCCCAACAGGCCTCGCAAGCTAGTGTGGCCGGCGGAGGGGGCCAAGGACAGGGCGGGCAGGGCAATGGGGGCCGGGGCCAAGGGGGTAGAGGACGGGGTGGCCGGGGGCGAGGGGGAAATGGTGGAGGCCGTGGAGGAGGCTGGAATGGTCAAGGGGGTCAGAACCAAGGTGGCCAAGGCAGCCAGGGAGGGGGCCAAGGGTATGAGAGGCCCCGCTTCGACTGGCGGAATGCAACTTGTTAGCATTGCGGCGAGGTGGGCCACACCGTACGATTCTGCCAACAACGGCGGGACGACGAATTGGCAGGACTAATCTCCACCTGTATGGATGGGGATATATACGACCAGTGGGGAAAGCATATTGATCCCAAGACCCCGAGAGGAATCAGGCAGGAAGCCCTCAGGCGAGCAGCGGCGGGGCCTCCAGAAGCCCCAACAATGTTCAGGATATGGCAGGAGAGGCAAGACCCGGGTGTGAGAGTTGAGGAGATTGTGGGTGAAAATGAGGAAGTGACTCAGCGGCTAAAGGCGGGGACTATAAAGGAGGAGCCTATAGTCGTCGAGTCAGACGATGAGGCATAGGAGGTGGTAAGAGAGTCGGCCTTGACCATCCTGGAAAGGATGGAGGACCTGCTTGCGAAGGTAGGCAGGTACCAGGAACGATTAAGGGTGATGTGCGAAGAGGCCCAGGAGTGGGAAATGAACCTCCCTGAGGTGATGCTTTATGGGTCCGGCCCGGAGTCATCATCAGGACCGCAAGGGTGTCCAAGCGTGGCGACGGCCGGGGCAGGTCCTAGGTCAGGGATGACCTTTAGACCCCCTACGTCGCATGGAAGGGTGCCACAGGCCGTGCAGACTAGGGGCCAAAGCAAGGCTACCGCTGGTCAGGGGCCTAGCCAGGCACCTGGCCGGGCGCCTCCCGGAAAGGAGCCTGAGCCTGAACGAACGAAAGAAGTGGTAGAGGTTCAAGAAGAGGAGGATGAGGGCGATGACGAAGAGGACGAGAGGCTCCGCCAAGAAGAAGATCGGCGAGCTAAGCAGAGGGCCAAGAAGAGAGGGATTCAGGGAGGGGCGGAGCCGAGCTTGCATGATGGCGCACCAAAAAGGAAGAAGTACGCGGTCCGGCTAGAGGAAGGTTTTGACGTGGAGTGAATGGTGGACAAGCTCTTGGAGGGCCATAACGATCTGATGAATCTAAAAGACATCTTGGCGTCGGCACCAAGACTCCGTGGTGAGCTGAAAGGGCGGCTCTCGCGGAGGCTAGTGCCCAACGTCCACGTGAGCTCAATTTTGCCCAGGGAGATAGAGTGGACAGAGGCGGGCACCAGGATGGACTGGAAATGTGTGGCATGTGGGTTGGTGGATCTGAAGGTGAGAGACCAGCCGAGCATCGCAATGGTGGACACGGGCGCTGAAATGAATATCATCCGGGAGCGGGACGCGACTATGCTGGGGCTGGAGGTGGATCATTCAGACCATGGTGTGCTGCACGGTGCCAACTATAAGGCCATTTTCTGCGGCACTGCGTCTAATGTGATGGTGGAGATTGGGAGGGTAAGGGCGCGAACGTGCTTCTTCGTCATGCCCGATGTCGACCACCCTATCCTTCTGGGGAGGTCGTTCCTCTGCCGGACGGAGACCTTGGTCATCAACAGGCATGAAGGGACGATGATCCTGGCTCTATCCGATCCGGCCTGCGGGAATTACGAAATTATCAAGTGCCGGAACACAGGGCCCGGAAGTGCGAGGAACAGGCTCAACCTCGGCTCCTTCACCTTCGAGGAGTCCGAGTACGCGCGACGGAGACTCCGGGAGGAGCAGGAGGAGGAAGGAGCAGGCGAGGTGTTGTCCCTGAGCCTTAACGATGTGAATAAGGCAATGGAGGTGGTGGCGGCTTATGATATGGCGGACCCTGAGGCTATAAAGGCATTGAGGGAGCAGGTCCTGGAAAGCCCCCAGGTGGGAGAAGTGGAGCTGATCTATCGGCTTCCCGGAAGGAAAGGAGACCATGCGATGGCCCAGGCCCAAACGACAAGTCGGCCTTTTTTAGGGGAGGGTTTAAGCAGGGCTCCCAAAGGCGGTACAAGACTATAGATAAGAAGTGTCGCCCGGTCCCCATACTTGTCACGGAGGACGAGGAAGTCTATTATGAGCGAGAGCGAGGGCTGATAAGACGTATGCGGGAGCGCGCGCAGGCAGGGCCGTGCCGTATCAATAACGAGAACGAGGAGGGGCTAATAATCGGCGAGCCTGGCTTCCTTTCGCCCCAGGAGAGGACCTTGATGGTAGGGACCATGAAGAGGAGGCATTGTGCGTATGCGTTTAATGACGACGAGCGTGGGAGGTTGGACGTGGATAAGATCCCAATGATACGAATCCATACCGTCCCACACGAGTCGTGGAACCTGAGGGGCGCGCGGTACCCGAATCCGGATGAGGGGAAGAAGGTGGTGGATTACTTGGATGGGAAGATGAGGACGTATGTGGCGGATTACTCCAGTGGACCGTATGCTTCCCCTTGGTTTTGTTTTATCAAGCCGAACGGGACGTTACGGTGGGTGCAGGATTTGCAACGATTGAATGCAGTGACGGTGCGGGACGCGGGAGGATTGCCGAACGCGGACGCCCTGTCAGAGTCATGCGCAGGAAGGCCTATAATCTCACTTATAGACCTCTTTTCTGGGTATGACCAGTTTCCTGTGTACCCGCCAGATAGGCCGGTGACGGCAATGCATACGCCAAGGGGGCTGATCCACATGAACGTGGCCCCTCAGGGGTGGACTAATGCGGTGGCGATGGTGCAAAGGCACATGATTAGGGCCATGCAGACGGTTAGTCCACATATTACCCAGCCCTACATTGACGACCTGGCGGTCAAGGGTCCAAAGGAGAAGGAGGAAGATGAAGTGATGCCAGGGGTGAGGCGGTTCGTCTTGAAGCACGTCCAGGATATCGATCAGGTTCTGGGTCTGCTGGAAGAACACAACCTGACGGCGAGCGGCCCCAAGTCGAAGCATTGTATGAGGGAGACCACGATTCTGGGCTTTGTCTGTAACGAGAAGGGGCGGAGGCCAGATGTGAAGAAAACGGATAAGATCCTAGAGTGGCCAGTCCCCTTCCAGTCGATAACGGACGTGAGGAGCTTCCTTGGGACCTGCGGGTTTTGGAGGAGTTTTGTGAAGGACTTCGCCACCAAGACGGAGCATTTAAGGAAGCTGGTGTGTCAGTATCAGGAATGGGTCTGGGGCAAGGACCAGGAGAAGGTTGTGGAAAGGATGAAGAGAGAATTCAAGGAAGGAGGCTTGGTGCTGGGAGCGCCGAATTATGAGGCCACGGAGGAAAAGCCATTCGTTGTCGAGACGGACGCCGGGCCAACTGCCTTAGGAGGAGTCCTGATCTAGGTAGATGCAGATGGGAAGGAGAGGCCGCTGAGGTTCGAAAGTCGCACTCTCAATACGACTGAGAGAAACTACTCGCAGTTCAAGAAAGAGACGTTGGCGGTGCTCCATTGCCTAAGGACCTTCCGGAACTATATCTTTGGCAGGAGGCTCATTCTGAGGGTGGACCCTACCGCGCTGGCGTGTTCCCTGAAAAGTTATACTCCATCTGACCCAACAATCGCGAGGTGGTTGATCTACATTTGGATGTTTAACTTTGAATTGGAGAGGATTCCAGGGGACAAAAACAGGGCGGATGGGTTGAGTCGTATCAACTGGGACGGGGCGAATCAAGAATCAATTGAGGATACCCCACCAGTCGACGGGTTCTTGGACCAGGAGGAGGATGTCCGCCTCCACATAAATGAGTGGTCGCTGAGGGTGCCTAGCTGCGTCACGCATCCTATATGGCTAGCACCAAGGGGGTACGAGCAGAAGGAGGAGTTGGTCCTCGAGCCCTTCCAGGAAGAAGATCCGTGGGGGAGCAGGGATGTTGGCTGGATGATGAAGTTGGCATTGGCAGGGACACATAGTCTGGCGGAGGAGGTGAGGACGATAGAGGAAGGGTCAACCCAGGTAGAGGAGCATGAGCAACTAATGAGAGGGATGTACTTGCTCACTAATACGCTCCTGCAGAGGAACTTTAACCAGAGGAGCTCAGCCGGTTCTAAGGAAAGCGAACTTCTTATTCCTGAAAGCCAGGACGACGAGTTCGAAGATGGAGAGATCAGGGAGGCCTTCCGCGCTGAGGAGTATGACGGGATCTATCGGAAGTTGGGGTTACTCCTGTCGTGCGAGATAAGGGATAGGGACGCAAGTGAAAAAGCCCAGAAGATGAGACACCTCTACGTAGTAAGAGATGGCCATCTGTTTATAAAGCGACAGGTTGGGAACCCCAAGAGGATCGTATGTGGGAGGAACCGGCAGATCGATGTCATAGCAGCCTTGCACGATGGTATAGCAGGGGGGCACAGAGGGGTTAGTGCGACGTGCGCGAAGATAAGCGAGTTATACCATTGGGATGGAATGCTGACTATGGTCATTAAGTACTGCCAGTCCTGTGTACCTTGCCAGCAGAGGTCGACGCAAAGGCCTAGGGAGCCTCTGCACCCCAGGTTAGAAAGAGAAGTGGGTGCGGTCGTACACCTGGACCTATTGTTCATGCCACTCGGGGAGGATGAAAATAACTATATCTTTGACGCACGGGACAACCTTACCGGGTTCGTGGACGGCCGGACAATCCGCACAAAAACTGGTCCAGTTTTAGCAAAGTGCATTGAAGAGTACTACCTGCGTTATCCGTTTGTCAGAGAGTTTGTGATGGACCGGGGATCGGAGTTCACCTGTAACGAGGTGCGGACCTTACTGCCAGGGTATGGCGTGGTAGCAAACTATACTACTGCCGCGCACCCCCAGGCAAACGCACCTATGGAAAGGGGGCATAGTACCATCACAAACCTTCTGGCCAAGTGGACTGAGGGGAGGCCTAAGTAGTGGCCGAAGTTCCTGAGAGCAGCATTCTTCGTGGAGAATGTTACAGTAAAAAGGACTACGAAGTATGCGCCGGCCACTCTATGGTACGGGAGGCATGCCACCTTTCCCATAGAAAGCTTTATGAAGACGTGGAGGCGCCAGGACCTGGAAGTGAACCTGTCCTTTGAAGAACTGATCGATATACGGGCACGGCAGGTGGGGGCCGCTGAAGAAAGGTTACAAGAGGCCGCTGGTCAGGTAGAGAGAAGTCGTATAGAAGACAAGATGAGATGGTACCAGATGACCCGAATAAGGAAGGACCCGCTGAAGGTTGGAGACGTGGTACTATTGTATGACTCCTCGCTGGAAAAACAGTGGTCCAGGAAGCTAGATAAGCGGTGGTTGGGACCCGATAGGATCGTGCGGTGTGGCGAGTTTGGGGCCTACCAAATCGAAAACTCTGAGCTGGATGGTGCAGGGTGGCAGGACTGGGTATCAGGGACAAGGCTGAAGAAGTTCGTGGCCAGGGAATAGGTAAGGGGCCATGAGACCTCGTTAGGAATAGAGTCTTGCCTAGGTATTACCCAGGTCAGGTGCTAGGGGTGATTGAAATGGATGGGTGTGGAGAGAATGTGGGATTTCCCTGGGCCAATGGCTCAGTTGCTGACCCTGCTGTGTGCCTGTGTGTTGTCTCTCGCCTGTTGTGCAAGTCTGACTTTTCGAAGGCAGTCATGCAGAGGGGCGGGAGGGACACACGGCCATGCCAGGGGCTCCAGAGGATAGCGGGAGGGGGCGAGCAGCACGAGCCGCCTAGGAGGGAGCCTACGCTTGAGTTCGATGACGACAACATCGAGCTCTTCTTGGACGTATATCGGGACCATGCGGCACAGAGAGGGTGGTCAGTGGCGGAGAGGATTCACCACTTGAGGGGTGTAGGGCGGTTAGAGGAGCCTGTCGCACAGATATGTGAGGAGGCCCTGGCTTGGCAGGACGTGGAGGCCGGGATGCAGAGATTGAGAGCTTCCCCTAGAGGGCACGATGGCATGCCCATTCGATTGGAGGAAGGGAACGCGGAGGAGTTCATTCCCGCATATGAGCATTACATGTTGAGTCAGGGGATTGCGCGGGAGGAGTGCGTGCAGGCCCTACTTATCTGGACGAGGGGGGCAGAGAGGCCAGTGGCCAAACAGATTTGGGAGAGGGCCCGAGACTGGGAGGACTGCCAGGCCCAGCTCAGGAGGACGTTTGGACGGCCAGAGTGCGAGGGGCACGAGCCCAGGGTCGAGAGGCGACGGCGAAGCAAGAGGCCAAGGGAACCGACACCGAGAGAGGTGGGACTGGCCAGAGAGAGGGGGAGGGCCCCAGCACAGCGGGAGGGTGAGCCCGCAGGGCCCGCATTGGCCGAGGAGTCGTTCCCTGCTTGTGGCCTCCGGGCGGTTGAGTTTCGACGGATTACGGGCGAGGAGCTGAGACCGCCCTCACCGTTACCATCAGCACAGGAACAGGATATACGAAGAGAGACGCCATTCCGAAGCTTAGCGACTCATCTTGATGCATCTCGATGGGAGGCCTCACGATTGGGGGAGGGCTCAGTTGAGCCGACGTGCTATGTGTCATTGGAGGAGCCTTTGGACCCCGAGACGGAGACGGACATGCGAGACCGAGAGGAGCCGCAGGATCCTGAGATGGCAGTCGAGCAACCGGATCCGGTATGGCCTCAGGGCGGGGAGGTGATCACGGACGGGGACGATACCCCGCCACGCTCCCCAGTTCCTGAGCCAGCACAGTATGGCCAGAGGGGATTCCCGAGCCAGGCAGTGAGGAGATTCCGGACTCTCCCCCTGAGGCCACCACTATGCCTGAGCAGGAGGCAGAGGCGAGGGTCAGGGAGCGTGTGAGAGAGCGAGGATGGAGGTGCCCCTTGACTTACCATCGGCCACGCACGTGACCAGGAGCCCAGTTATTGAGGAGCCCGTTCCAGCGGAGCTACCGCCAGTAGTGCCATGCGCGAGCGAGGAGATGGGGGCGGAGGCGTCGACTCCGGAAGGCCAGGGGCCGCAAGTGAGGGGAGCCCCAAGAGAGACCCGTGAAGAGAAGTCCGCCCGAGTGCGGGTCCGTCTGGATGAAATACATGCGAGGCAGGCTAAGATGGAGGCAGCAAGAATGGAGCCGACACCGCCGGTCGAGCCCAAGACGAGCGAGCAGAGGATCGACGAGTTGTGGGCAAAGGAATGAGAGCCAGAGGGATGCAGCCCGCCAGAGGTCACGAGAGGCAGGACAGGCGGACGAGGAGATGGGTGAGCTGAGGGAGATGGGGGACTTGGGGTTCTCCGCGACCAGGCAGGCAATGGAGCGCATGGATTGGAGGGTATGCGAGACGGCAGTTACTTGCTTCCAGTGGTATAATCTACTCAGCAATGAGCTCAGGGTCAAAGAGTTGGAGGTGGAGCACCTGACTACTCAACTTCCCGAGGAAAAGGCGAGGAGCTAGGCCAGAGAGGTTGAGTGGGAGAGGAGATTTGGGGAGATGGCGACCGTTGTGGATAGGCTTTCAGCAGCCTGGGAGTCTAGTCAGGCGGGACGAGCCGGTGCCGATGGCCAGGGTCGAGGGATGCGTGCTTCGCCTTGCCAGGGAGCAGCAGTGGAGGTCCCTCGACAGGCTGAGCCCGTGGAGAAGGTGCCCTTGGACACGGCTTGAGAGGTGGGCGGCGCACAGGAGTCGCTTATGGCTATGTCCACGGAGAGGAGAGGTTCGCGTTTGCATGAGCTGGCGGCAGCCATGGGGATAGGCACGCCACAGGAGGGGCCTCAGAGATGCGACGCTCCAGAGCATGTCCCGAGGTTGGGAGAGCTGAGGGCGGAGCTGGGCTCTTGGGCCACAGGGAGAGACTCAGGAGGGTCTGATTCGGAGCGGCAGCAGCAGCAGGGGGTCACGAGTGAGCCGGCCACCATGGCAGGCTCCCAGCTATCAGGATCATGTGGGGATGAGGCGGTGATTGTGACGGAGAGGCCTCTTGAGGAGGGACCCCAAGAGTTGAGGCTAGTGGGCACAGCCGTACGAGGGAGTGAGGGTGCTGAGGCCATGGAGCCCGAACCTCAAGGCCATATGGGATTGCCCTCGTGTCATGAGGTGACTACTGAGGCTGTGGGGGCGCCTTCGGCATCGAGTTCGCAGGGGAGAAAGAAGAAGACCGCCAGGTGGCACGATACTTCCTGCTTTTGGTGCAAGAAGGAAGGGCACAGGGCCATGGACTGTCCAGAACTCCTTGAGGATAAGGCCGAGGGGCGGGTTGCAGAGGTCGACGGCAAGTTCTATGATAGGCAAGGCAGGATAGTAGAGCGAGCTCCAGATGGGGGCAGGGCTCGGTTATATAGGCAGAACCAGGAGGAATTGTGTAAGTAGGGACTAGTCTGTCTATGTGTCAGTAGGGTCGGAGTATTTGGCACACAGGGGGCGGGTCGGAGGTGTATATATGTTTAGTTGGCTGCGGGGGCCTTAGATGTGTGCATGCTTTAGAGGTGGTAGGATAAGTCCCTGCCTGCTTATGCATACATAGTTGATTGTGGTTTCCTTGAGCTTTCTTTCATGGGCCACGACTTAGGAGATGAGGATCGGCCGTAGGACACATAGGACTATTCAGTCCATTGGTAATTTCACAGTGCAGAGGTTATTTGAGTTTTGGGAGAGACTGGGGTATGAGTTTCCCTAGTCGGGTGAGACAGGGGGTTAGGCACCCATTGGATTTTGGGTAGATGTTGTGTCCCCGAGCGTGTTCCACGGGTGTACAGTGGGATCGGGAGCCGTGCTCAGGTGGACAGAGTTTGAGTTGAGCGTTTGTGTTTGAGTCTTGAGGGAGACATTTTACTCCCCGAATGTATCATGAGTTGAGACTGTATGGGACTTGTCTTGTGACGACCACTATCACTCTCACATGTGTGGTTTTATCCTGATGTATGATTGGCTTTGTGTGAGGGGTGTACAGGATACATCTCATGGGCATGATTATGTAAGCTGTAAAGTTGCCTACCCTCCGGTATACTCGTGCATTCTGCCCACAAGCGGACGAGAAGGCAGAGTATAAGGAGGGGAAGCGCAGCCTGTTTGTGAGAAAACTGTGAGAATCCTACGGGATTGATGGATTCAAAAATTACCATGCTTGGTCATACTAAACGCCGTTGTATAAGTTGTACAAGGACCCAGAAGATGGTCCCCCAGGTTGAGTTGTTTGATGGTTAAGACCCCCTTCATGGTGCTGGAAGGTGGGAATTGCATTGTCTGGAGGCCCCTTCATGGTTTTGGAAGAGGTCGTGTGAAGAGTCATCCCATACAGAGAAGAGATGGCTGTGAAATCTTTTGTGAGAGGCACCCTTCATCGAGTAAGGGTGGGAAAATTTTGAGTGGTATGGAAAGCACTGTTTGTGTTGATAAAGCCTGACGAGAGGGAACCATGTTTACTTGAAATGTTTGAAAAGGGCGAGAGATGCCTCGGAATGGGCGACTGCTGGCTCTGATCAAGTCAGGAGCCGCGACCTTGTGGATCCGGCGGGGAGACTGTTTGCGATTGAGCGAAGGATGCCGTGCCTATTATAGGAGGGCCGGTAAATGCCTTCTGACCCCTGCATAGTCCCGTAGTGGCCTGTAGATTGTTCGTGATGCCCTGCCCGACCACCTGTGCTGATTCTGAGACATGTTTGGAGGAATACCAAGCTAACGGTAAAGTTTAGTGCCACCTGGGCGCAACCCCTAGTGGAGGGCTACTAGCCGGCACAACCTGGTTGCGGGCCCGCGAGATAAGAGTTTAAGGGGAGTTGCCTGCCCCAGAGGAATTACTTCGCAGGATAGGATTCGAGTCTTTTGGGAAATCCTGGCTGACTGATGGTCGGGAAAAACGCCTATCGTTGTATAACCAACTGAAGGATACCGCCGCTAAGGTAACAATGCGGGGGGCCGTAGACCTGGCCCGATCGCCCAAGCTATGGTGAGCTTAGACGGAGACCTGGCGTTTTTGTACTAGACTGCAGAAAAGGCCGAGAGAGGTTATAAGCTATATGTATGTATTTTGCTTGATGGTGAGAGAATTGCTGGAAGAAGGCAAGAATGCCTTCATAGGTCCCATTCAAAGCCCAAGTCCCTAGTTATGACTCTGTCTACGAGAGAGAGGCTACTTGGGACACCCAACGAGAGGCCGGCGGTTGTCTAGGACAAAATGGGGGAGGATGGTTTGTGGGCCTTTGGAACTTATGTTGTAGTATTGACGCGTAATACACCGGCGTCCTAGTGTCAGGGCTATGGGGACCCAGGTTGAAACCCTGGAAGCATATAGTTGTGTTGGCACCTTTTGATGGAGGCCTCAACCCTAATCCGTCGGCTAATCGAATTGGTTCTGATCTCGTCAGCACTTGGAATGTGAGGAAATCTATAGCTTTTGATTTGGCGACGCGACGGGGACGTCGCTTAATATGGTCCAGTAAGTTGTCGGCGCGAATACCCTTACAAGGGTATCCGCCCTGGTTTTTGCAAGTGACAGAAAGGCTCGGTTAGCCTGGATTTTGAGTGCCCGTGCGGAAATGTGAGGGTTCCCCGCGCGCAGGCAAAGGTCTGCCTTGTCCCGGTAGGGAGTATGTGGGCGCGCAATTTTGAGGCGCGCGTGTGATTTTTCTTGGTTGAAGTAGGCGGCCGGTCTAGTCGACCGGCCCGGACCATGTTACGGGTCTGGTTAGGGGTAAGAGTCGGCTTCTCTTCTTGTTTTTGGTTGGCGCGCGTGACCGGTGGCAGGATTGGCGCACCGAGAGGCGTATGGGACGGCAGGGGCACAGGCTGGTAGGCCGGCGCAGACATTTAGGGGCCATGGGGAATGTCGGGTGAGAGGACGGCCGGAGCGGTATTTTTGCCCGAAACGCCGCGTGGCACCACTTTGTATGGGAAACCGCGCCTGCTGGTTACAGGCTTGGGCTTAGCCGTATAGGTTACAACACTGGGTTTGTATGGTAGAGGTACGAGGTTCGAGTCCGGCGGAAGGCGACACAGGAGCAATGGAGCGGTGAGAAGAAAAGGGGTTGAGGGTCCCGCGGGACTATCCCCTTTTTTTTTTGTTCTTTTTTTTTTTTTTTTTTTGTTCTTTTTTTTGGGGGGTTTGGCGAGGGAGCCCGGCCGCAGGTCCGCGCTGCTAGGCTGCAGGAGGACTAGCAGGGCCTGCGGCTCGTTCTCCCGTCCGAGTGATCCTCTTCCTTTGTTTCGGAGGCCACCCCAAGTTCCCGCGAAGGATGGAGCCGTTGAGGGGCGGTTGACCGCGCCTTGGGGCCAGCAGCCCAGTTCGCTTGGGTATACCCACGTATCGTGGGTTACGCCCCGCCTAGCTTGGATGGTGGGGGTCGAGGGACCAAAAGTTAAGAAGTCGAACTCTTCGGAGGGCTGGCCAACTTGCTGACGCGGCCGCTAAGGAGATCTGGGAGTGACGTAAAGAAGAATTGTTTGGCCCCTGTGCCGGGCGGGAGTGCGAAGAATCCGGAGTGAATCCGGACGTGAACCGGGCCACGCACACGGTAGGCAGAGGAGGGGGACGGGCCTGAGCGCCCTGCCGATTGCTAAAGTCCAAGGCAGGTAGTAGGAGCACTTGCCTGGACTCGGCCTAAAAAAGAGACCAGGTGCGCGCGAGGACGGTAAGGTGGGGTGGCAGTGAGGCCGCCCAAACTCTGAGAGGCCGCCGGGGTGCTGATGTGGCGGAGGCCCGTTGGGACATTCGTGGATACTAAAGTAATACTGAGAAGATTTGCGTAGCCCCGGCGCACGGGTGATGTGTGAGGAGTCCGGGAATGAACCCGGACGCAATACGGGGGAGGCGCGTGTGAGGGGAGTGAAAAGAGGGGCCGCTGGATCTTGGGGGTGCGGCAGGGCCGTCGGCGCGTGGCTCGGTGAAAGTCCGTTGGGGTATTCGCTAAGATCGGAACGATACAGGGGAGGTTTGCACAGTCCCTGTGTAAGGATGATACACACGATTCGGGAAAAAGGGGGGCCGGGGCATTAACCGCTGAAGTTGGCCGCATGGGCCGGAGATGCCCGCCCGAACCCGGCCTCAAAATAGACCAAGTTCGCGCGAAGATAGTAGTGAGGTAGGGGGGGGAGGAAGCGGTAGTTGTAGCTAGAAGGCGGGTTGCCGAGCGGCGGAGCCGAAGAGCCGGGGCGGGAGAGTTTTTAAGGATTAGTTATCGCTCAACCTGTGCCCTTTTCCCTTTTTTTTCTTCGAAGAGTTTCTCTGTGACAAGCGAGATTGTCGAATGTTGCGGAACGACCGAGAGGTGCGTTGCGGGGCTTTGTTGATGACAACTCGAATCGTAGAGTGCTGGGAGGCAGGGCGAACCCAGACGGGAAGGGGTGGTAGGTGCGCGTGAGGCACAGGGAGCTGGAGATGACAGGGAGAAGGGCGTACGCCGAGGTGACGGGGAGAAGGATATGGTGAGGAGGAACACTTACCTTACGCGTTCCTCTACGGGTTAAGGGAGGAAAGGGGCTAATTCGGGGTTTTCTGCCATCACGAGTGCGACGGCGGTGTCAGTTTTGGTAGTAAGGTGTTAGTTTGACAGTTAGGGGGAGAAGGGGCTGCGCAAGTGGGACGGTTAGAAGCGGGGGGCGGGATTTGGAGGCATCTGGCTGTGTTCCAGAGGAACATTCATCGCCATTTCGGGTATTTGGTTAGTAAAGGAAGGCAAGGGAAGGGAGTACGCACCTGGCTGATCTCTTACCAAGGATTCATTCGGTTTAGCTCATCCCACGGAGGGAAGTAGTGGGGGGGGGCGAGCCTAGCGATTGAAGGCTACCTGTTTAGTCGACGGGTTTGAACGGGAGGAGTGTGAGGTAGGCGCGAAGAGGGGTACTTACCTGTTGGTAGTGTGATATGAGTCCTTTTCAGAGTGCTTCCCGGTCGCATTGTACTTGCCCCGACTCCAGTGGAAGATTCATTCGAGTTTGCTCGTCCTTCGCTGGAAGCATTGTGAGGCCAGCCGCGGAGCAAGCAACGGAGGGGAAGAGCGGGCACTTATCCTTGCGAGGGAGAACCTACTCTCGAGCGATGAGTCAGTCGCCCCGTCGGAAAGTTGGCAGGGGACAGGTCGTGAAAGCTTGGACTACCTGTGGACCAACGGGCTGCCTATGCTGCAGGTGTTGCGGGAGGGGCCCGTACGTTACTGAGGGACCTTACCTGTGTGGTACTGTGCTTGTTCACTCAGCAAGGCTTGGTGGGGTGGAGATAACGCCCGGAGAGCCACGAGGATTGCAGGAGGGTAGTTGGCCGGGAAGGAGCGACAGGGGGCTGCCAACCCACGGCCGGTCGGGGGAAGAAGAGCTAAAGTTTGAACTTGGCCAGGTTGCAGCTGCACGTCCGCTATTGGGGTTGTTGCAGCCCTTTCGCTGCAGAGACTACCGAGGTTGCGGCAGACCACTGTGCTACCTTGAGTACGCACAGGTGAGGCTGTGGGCGGCAGCCTCGTCGCGGGGAGTAAGGGTGTAGTACAAGGGAGGTGGTCGGACTGCGAGGAAGGCCGCCGGCATAGTTTGAGGAGGTAGTTAGGGAGTCAACAACCAGCAGGTAACCATTTGTTGACCGAGCTGTTGAGTATTTTCGTTGCCATTGCGGGGCCCCTAGGCGTTGAAGACTCGAAGGCCCTCTCGCGTGAGTCTGAGTGTGTCCTTCCTGAGTTTGAGAGTCTTACTCTCCCT